TCTCTCAGCAGTTCCCTTAGGTCCTCCTCACTGACACGGTCGCCCTTTATGACGATTACACTCAGGATGACTATCAGGAGGTTCCCTTTGGGAATGACCTGGACATCGTCATCCAGGATCCCCTTGTAAGTGAGGCCCAGGACAGGGAGAAGCTCGTATGTCTGGCCAGGGGGATCCACTTCCCTCAGCTCAATGCCAAAGCCCAGACACATGCACTGACAGAGTTCCCTAAAGATCAGAGGGAAGTGCTCATGGTAATCATCATCCACAACGTGCAGCATTTCCTCCATGGTGATCTGCTCCTTCTGTTGATACTTGCGGAACAGTAAGGGCACCAGATCATGTAACTTGTCATTTAGGAGCACACTGCGCAAGATCTGAGGAACATTCTCATCCTGCGAGGGACTTGGACCCTCCTCCTCTTGCCGGCCCGAGCCCTCACTGCACTGGCTCCTTTGAGTGGCAGCCATGGCACTGAGGGGAGAGGAGATGCCCTGAGGATTCTGAGGACAACTTGGTGTCCCAAGCCCAGGCTTTTCTATTGGTGTGGACGTGATTAGAGAATGCTGCAGAGGAAGCAGTGGCTTCTGCTTCCTCCTCCTCCTCCTTAAGAAACTGCACACTCATGAGGATCTGTGTACTACTCTGGCCAGGATGGCCTCCCCCTAACTTGCTGTCTTGGCTCCCCTGACCATGAGGCAATATGATGTTCCATAGGAACATCAAGAGCTTGTTGTTCAAGACTCAGATGCCTGGAAGAGAGAGCAAGACTATTAGTGTTTTCAGCTAAGAACAACACTCTTGATGCCTCCCACAGAGGCCCATTATAGGTCTTCTCTTTGGGGGTACCCTAGGTCTTCACAGGTTCCTATCATCCTGCAAGCACTGGCCCCATGACCCTGGGAAATGAAATGAGGGTGCTCCTCAGTGTGCAGTTAAACTGCAGAGGACAGGCTCTAGGGAAGACGGTATGACATATGCAACCTGGGTACTGTGACGTGTCGTGTTCTGGGGCAGGGGGAACCCCTAGGTACACATCATGGACTGCACTTCACCTTCACTCCTGACACTGGGACTACTCTGCTGCGTGACCTGAGGACACTGCTCCACAACAAGACCTTCACCAACTTGTTCCTGGAGAACCTATAAGAAGCATAATGTAAAAACCTCTAGCTGCAGGCTGAAAGCACAGTCCTGCTCCTCCAGCCCTCATAGTAGAGCTGTGCTGGATTTTTCAGTGCCCCAGTGTTATGTGTGGATAGTTCCTCTCTGCTCATTTGGGGCCCTCAACTGTCCTTCAGCAGGGCCCAGACCCCAGTCCTCTGCTTGGCTGAGGCAAACTCAGAAAAAGTGTCTCCCTCCTTGATGGGGGGGGGGGCACCCAGAGGACATACATTTGATCACGTCATTCTGCAGGCAACAGCTAGAGGTGGAAATGCCAGTTGTGTCTGTGTGCCTAAGGAAAATGAATCTGTTCCACCTTTATGTTGGTAAGTGTTTAGGCACAGGACCCTCTCTGCAATGACTGTAAGCCGCCTTCTTTAAAACATGGCAATATTGCTATGAAATTCCAAAGAAGAAGTGCAGGAACCTGAGTCCACCTATGTTCCCTGTGTCTGACTACGGGTGACAAATGGGACAAGTTGAGGCTAGAATACTGTGTGTTGAAGTGAGTGGGTTCTCTCTGCCTCACCAAGACCCTTGATAGACCCTAGGATCTTAGTTCTGCTGACTCAGTTCCTGCCCTCCTTGTACCAAGGCCTTCACCTCACTGAGACCAATGACCCAGAACTAAGAGAGCAGCCTCACCCTGGCAGCTCTGCCAAGGCTTCCTTGAATAACAACAAGCACAAGTCCGATATCAGAGGACCACCCACCTCTCTGGGTTCAGGTTGGGAATATCCTAAATCACCCTTTAAGATCATCATCTTGACTCTTGGCAGATCCTGGGGCATCTGTGTGTCTCCTGACCAGATGGTGTTCCCTGTGCCTACCTGAAGACACAAACTTAGATCAAGTCCCTTACCTCGCTGAGCTCTTCAGGATTCTCAAAAGAAGTGAGCAGGCACCCGTCATGTCACTGCATAGGTACCTCAGTGCTGACAGTAAGATCTGTGCCAATTTTTCCTGTGATTCAAGATTCCTGTTATGGTTTAAGTCTAGATTCCCCCAAATGTCCCATGAGATCATAGGCAGGACCTTTGGAAAGTCATTGTATAATGGGGGCTTACAGTTGACATGCGGTTAAGAGGTGGGGCCTTTTAGGGAGAAGAAGGTCCCTCTGGCTGTGACAGGGCAGGATATTTCTTCCTTCCTGGCCCCTCCCTTCACTGTCAGCCTCCTGGAGAACTTGAGCAGCTTTCCTCCCACCAGGCCCTTCCTCTCTGATGTGCTGCATGGATCTGATTGACTATGGACTAAAATCTCCATAAATTGTAAGCTTAAATCAACTTTCTTCCACTAAACTGTAGATATCAGGTATTGTGTCTCAGCAATGAGAACATAAGCAAGGTATCTCCTATGTGCTTTTGTACTTTCTCCATTTTCCTCCTGTTGGTGCCTGCCCTCCTTCGACCCTACACCACCAGAGATGAGCTGATCTCTCCCTTTGACACCAAGACCTAATCCCCTAAAGACTCACTTCCGAGCCATGGTAGAAGTGAGCATGCCAATTAGAGCTTCCCAGGGCTGACCTGGGGAACAGGAAGATTCTGTAAGTCTGTTGCTTCTGTGCTGCACACACCTCAGTCCTCAGGAAGGGTCCATACTTTGGGTGTCTCAGCTCCTGGGGTCCTCCATTTACTAACCATATGTAGGTCCCTCTACTGAATCGTGGTCTCCTCTTGGACCAAGGTTCTGACATCCTTGAATTTTCCCACCTCCAAACACTTTGTGCATTTATGAGCAGTTTATATACAACCACCCACAACAAGAAATCCAGGCTAATAACAGGGGAAGCCAGTCTTTGTGGAGCCCCTTTGTGTATGGGTGTGGGTTACCTTTAAACCATCGGTGCTAGAAAATAGTAGAGTGGTGAGCAATAGCAATTCAGTCTCTCCAAGCTTTGGAATTAGCACTCTGGAAAATCCCAACTGAGGAAGAGAAAGAAAAAACAGATGAAAAAAGAAGTGGATCCCCAGAAATCCAGAAGAACCTGACACAAAAGTTCAATACTACAGAGAATGTTTCAAGATTTAGCTACTATAAACCGTGCTGTTATAGCCATGTACACTATATGAATAGATAAAGAAAATGTGGTGTACAATGGAGTACTACTCTTCCATAAAGAATGATAAAGTTGAGATTTTTTAGGTAAATGAATGTACCTGAAGACCATAATCTTAAGTGAAATAAATCAAACACATCAGTTCAAACACCGCATTTTTTCCCTTGTGTTGAAAACCCAAAGTATAAACAAGGAGCAAAATTGAAGATAAATATAAGGAAGTAGAAATAACTTATACAAATTGAAATGGGAACAAAAGGTGGTAGAAAGAGGGAAGGAGGGAAGGAAGGAAAAATGATTTAAAGGAAAAAATTAAAGGGAAAAAAAGAAACACAGCGTTTGGAAATGGTGAGGTAAAGGGCACAAGAAAATAATTAAGATACATTATGTACCTATGCAAATCCTTCATGATGAATGTGATTATTATGCACTGCAAACTGTGCTAATAAAAAACACTACAGAGAAATAGAAGAGACAGACAACATTGGTGAGTTGGGGAAAAAAATTAGTCCAGTTTCTCTCTGGATCCTAGCTCTTGAGAAAGAGGTTAATGTGCAGAACCAAAGTGAAACCTGGGGGATCCAAGAAGTCCAAGGAAGTAAAGGAGGTTGTGGTTCAGTAGACTAGCAGTTAGTGTGATCTGCAAGGACAGTGTGGATTTCTGCTCTCACAGAGTCCTTACACAAGAAACAGCAAAGGATTGACACCTATGCAGGTGCCTGCCATGTCCTTGTAGAGTGCATGGGCTTGGGTTCCATTCCAGGAAAGGGGTGAGTGTTTGAACATGAGCCTCAGCACAGACACAGGACACCTTTACATCAGTGTTACCCTCCCACAGCGACTGGGTAAGAGACAATCTCAGGAAACACCTGTGGACAGGGAGCAGACTAGAAAGACACACTCTGAGGGTTTTAAGCTCAGCTGCAAAAGGCACAGGCCATGCCCTGGTATCCAGAGTCCAGGCCTAGCCTGAGTTGTTCTGGATTTGAAAATTTAGGCATTCATTTGTCGAGCCCTTGCAGAGACTAAAAAAATACAAAGAAGGAATAAATTGTTGAGTTGTTCTTTTGAAAGTATTAAAAAATTGAAAAACCCCTATCCATTCTTACCAAAACAAGGAAAGAATAGATCCAAATTCAAGCATTAGAAATGGAAAAGTTGAAATCATGATGGATTCTTCCAAAATCCCGAAGATCATTAATAAATACTTTAAGAACCTAATAAAATGGAAAATTTCAGAAGAAATGCATATATTCCTAGGTCTATATGAACAAAGCTGAAACAATAAGATATAACAACTCCAAATAATTCTATAACAGTCAACAAAATTGAAGCATATATATATATGTGTACATATATATGTATATATGAAAAGCCCATGTCCTGTTGGATTCACAGTCAAATTCTACAAGCACTTTAGAGAAGATCTAATGCCAATACTCCTTGAACTCCGTAACAAAATTAAATGAGAAGCAGGATTCCCAAAGTCATTCCTGAAAGTATTACTATGATCCCAAAACCAGAAACAAATCCACCCAAATAAAAGAACTATATCTCAATCACTTTCATGAATATAGATGTGCAAACTTTAGTAAGATACTGGGAAACAATGCAACAAATCATCAGAAAGTTTGTACATCATGATAAAGTTGTACATCATTTCACAGATGCAGGGATGGATCAATAAGCACAAATCAAAAATTTAATACACCCTATAAAGAGAATCCCAGACAAAAAATACACAATCATCTCAATAGGTGTAAAACATATATTTGACAATATCCACTATCGATCCATGATGAGAATCCTGAAGAAAATAGATATAGAAGAAGTTCATCTCAATCTCCTAAAAGCCATCCATGACAAACCAATGACCAAATTCATAGTAAATGGGGAAAAGTGAAGAATCTGCCCTCTACAACCAGAAACAAGACAAGGATGTCCGCTGTCACCACTCTTTTTTTTTCCATTAAGTTTATTGGTACATTTTAGGTATACAATACAGTTACATTCATCATTGAGATCTTGTACCTTTACATGATGTATCTTGGTTCTTATTTTTTCCCAATTCCCCTGCCCTCCCTTCACCCCTCCACCCATCCCTATTTACAAAGACTTTGTTTTCATTTTTTACCTTTTCTCATATTTGTTTAAATAATTCTGAACACATTAATCAGAAAAATCAGGCAAGATAAATAAATTAAACATATGTATAGGAAAAACATACATATAGGAAAAACATACATATAGGAAAGAAAGATTTAAATTACCATTATTTGAAGGTGACATAATCCTCTACATAGCAGACCTCAAGGACTCCAATATAAGACTTCTAGAATTAATTTTTAAAAATTCACTAGAATAGAAGCTTACAAAGTCAACACACAAATATCAATCATGTACTTGTACACCATTAATAAACTCACAAAGAAATGAATGAGAGAAATAATAACTTGCACAATAACATCAAGAGAAGTGAAATATTTAGGAACTAACCTAAGCAAGGAAGTGATAGACCTCTACAATGAAAACTACAGTACTCTGAAAAAAGAAACTGAAGAGGGTATCAGAAAATGGAAAGATGTCTTGTTCCTGGATAGGCAGAAAGAGTATACTCAAAAAGATCATACTTCCAAAATTAGTATACAAATGTAATGCAGACCCAATCGAAATGCCAACAGCCTTCCTCAGAGAACTATAGAAAAAAATCCTAAAATTTATATGGCACCAAAAGAGACTTAGACTAATAAAAGCAGTACTAAGCAACAAATACAAAGCAGGAAGCATCACATTCCCAAACCTCAAACTAAAGTACAAACCTATGGTAATAAAAACAGTATGATACTGGCAAAAACCAGACCTCTGGATGAATGGAAAAGAACATAGGGTACAGAAATAATCCCAAGCAACCTGAGGCATCTTGTCTGTGACAAGAGGCCAAATACTTTCCCTGGAGTAAAAGTGGCCTCTTTGTTAAATCGTGAACCTAGACCCGTATTGCTCACCTACACTAAACTAAAATCAAAACACTTCAAAGATCTAAATATTAAAACAGAAACAATCAGCTGGAAGAAAAAAAGAGGTAAACATGGTAGACACAGGAATAGGCAAAGGCTTTATGAACAAAACTCCAGGTGCACAAGAAATAATACCAAGGATCAACATATTGTGTCATATCAAATTGCAAAACTTCTGCACTGCAAATAAAGCACCCAACATAGCAAAGAGATAATCTACAGAATGGAAAAAAATCTGCCAGTGCCTCAAACAAGGAATGAATATCTAGACTATATAAAGTTTAAAAAAAATTAAGTTCCCAAAATTAAAAGACTCAATCAAGAAATTGGCTTCTGAAATGAATGACACTTCTCAGATAAAAAAGTACAACTGGCCATTAAATACATGAAAAAAAATGTTCAACACTGCTGGCCATTCAATAAATGCAAATTAAATCAACACTGAGATTTCATCTCACTCTATAAAGAATGGCTGTCCTCAAGAAGTCAAATAAAAGCAAATGCTGGTGAGCCTGCAGCGGGGAAAAGGAACACTTCTTCATTTTTGGTGGGAGTGAAAACTGGCATAACCACTATGGAAATCAGTATGGAGATTATTTAGAAGATTAACAGCAGAAATGGCATTCAACTGTGACATTTCCCTTCTATATTTCACCCTGAGAGAATTAAAGAGGCATCATAATACAGTGACATATAAATACTCATGTTTATAGCAGCAAAATTGACTATAGCTAATCTTGTAAGGAGTCTATATGTCCATCAACAGGTGGATGCAGAGAAAAAATGTGGTATTTGTGCACAACAGAGTACTACTCTCCCATAAAAAGGAAAAGATTGAGTCCTCTGTAGGAAAATGTATGCACCTAAAGGCCACAGTGTTAAGTAAAATGAATCAGACACATGTCCTCATATATTTTCTCATATTCTATGAGAAAACCAAAATATAAATAAAGGGCAATGGGCTGGGGATTTAGCTCAGTGGTTTCACTGCCTTCTGTGCAAGCACAAGGAACCAAGTTCGATCCCCGACACAAATAAATAAAAATAAATAAATAAATAAATGGCAAAATTGTCGGTTGTCTGGGATACATGTACAGCAGTGAATTTGCTGGGTTGTACAGTGATTGCAGTCTTCAATTTATTTAAATAAATAGACATTGATGACTTCTTTTACATTTCCAAAAAAGCTTGCATTTCCAATCCATATTTCTTGTTCCAGGTCACAAAATAGAATAGATCTCAGAATTTTCCTTAAAACACAGCAAAAGTCTTAAGATGGATAACAACAGCATATGTTTGTGACCAATGCCATTAAACATTTAGAACTTGAAGTTAAATAACCTTCTATTAAGACGAACAACTTTTGAAGAAATATCAAAAAGAAAAAATCTCCAAGTCACACACATCAAAAAGAAATGCAAAGATGTTATATACTGAATTCACACCATCTCCATTCTGACTCTGCAGTACTTACAAAAGTGAATGCTCTTTTCAAACACAGAGTGAAAAATATGCCTCCGAATTCTCTTGGAACAGGAGAACCTACCAGATGTGGCTCTGCAACAATACCCCCGACCCAAAACATCGCCACTCCATTGGTCCTCGAAGTTCAGCTCCTCTTCTTCATCTCTCAAAGCCTCCTCATAACAGACAGAAAAGGCACTGGGGGTTATATCATCAAGCTTTGGCCAAAAATTCCAGAACTTCCATCTTGGAGGTTTCAGTGTGGGCCCTTGGACCCCACAGCAACTCATATTGAGGAGGATTGCTATTGGGCACCTGCTGATACTCCAGGTACCCTTCCTGTACCAAATCCTCAGTGATGAATTTCCTGGGCTCCCCATAGACA